TCAGATCAGAGGCTTATACTATTATAGACCGTAGAACATGAGCAAGACAATTTTTATTCCCATTGTTCTGGATATCATAATCAAAAATCTCATAAGGTAGGGGAAACTTCCATGTTTTGGCTAAATATATAACAATTATATACAAATAGACAAATCATACACACTTTGTTACCTCCCATTTAATTTCCATACAATATGGAAAAACCTTAGTTTATAAGACTAACTGAGCACAGATCCTTACTCTGAATCAGAGGGATTAGGGGCTGGGTGAAAGATTGCTGCCTGGATTTTTGTTTAAAACAAACTCCCACTACTACTACTACTACCACCCATTCTCTCCTCCTCCTTCTACTACTACTACCACTGCAGCTACTACTACCACTACCACCACCATTACCACCACTACCACTGCTACCCATACTTCTCCTCCTCCTTCTACTACTACTAGCACTATGACTACTACTGCCGCTACTACTACCATCACTGCTACTACTACTAACACTGCTACCACTACTACTACTACAACTTCTACTACCACTACGACTACTACTGCCACTACTACTACCATCACTACTACTACTACTAATACTGCTACCACTACTACTACTACTGCTACCACCACCACCACTACTACTGCTACCCATACTCCTCTTCCTCCTTCTGCTACTAATACCACTACTACCACCACTACTACTACCACCACCACCACTACTACTACTACTACTCCCACTACTACCATGACCACTACTACTGCCTCTACTACTACTACTCCCACTACTACCACGACCACTACTACTGCCTGTACTACTACTGCTATTAAAGAGAACTCTGGCATTGCATAGATGGTGGTCTTTGAGGGAAGTGATTCTTCTAATGTTGCCTGTGCTCTTGCAAGCTCTGGTGAAGCTCGGAGCCCTACACCGGGTGGAGGAAACCCCTTGCCAATTTGTTAAGAGTGCTCTGGACACTCTTTACATGGGCTGGATGGAGAGGTCTGCTCGAGTAACAAGGAGATCGTAAGCAGAATTTTCCTAGAAACCAGATGGGAGACTAAATGAACACCCTCCAAACAGTAATTCTCAAATACTGGCTGGTGGACCCAGGCTGATCCATGATGACATTTTAACGGTATTGCAGGGAAATAAGATATTCAAGGAAAATTGTTTTTCATTAAGTGCATTCTTTTTGTAGAATTATCCTTTATCGAGAGATTCTGCACTTTCTACTTTTTGATGTTTGTATGGTATCGTGATATAGTGATAAGGGATGTAGTTTTATTCCTTTAATTTTCTTTCTTGACAAAATTTTGAAAAGCAATGGTAACTTGGTGAACTTTCTAATGTTTTGAGGGATTTTTATTGGTTCACAAAAATGTGGAAGTCCAAGGAGCCCAGGACTAGAAGTGTGCTAGCCTGCTGTGTAACAACCTCTTCCTTTATTCTTCTTGCTTAGCTTTTATGGCGACATCATGAGTATTCGACCTGGTGACTCTGTCCTCATTTTATCTGAGATTAGAAACCAGATACAGGGGTGGTTTTAAAGCTGTTTAACACTACCCAAAGCTTAAGGATTTTTTTGGTAAAATTTGGCCAATATAGTTATGGCCTAAATATTGTTAACAGAGGGCCACTGTCAGATTCTGGAAGTGTCTCATAAACAAATATTACATTTTATACTGGCACAGTTTGTGTGTTTGTACATTATTTATGCTTAACTCTGACAAGTGATAGAAACAAAGTGGATTCTGCACCTTTAGAAAACATGTTGCCCAGTTAACAAGAATGTTTTGGGTAGTTTATATGCCAGAGCTAATCTGGGTTCCCATACCTTGTGAGTATACCTCTAAATACTAAGCCCGTCCTTAATTTCGGCTGGTGATGTACACAGCACAAGCACAGCATCAAGATGGCTTCTCAAATTGTTCGAATGCGCTGGGAAACTGACCTGTACTACTTACTAAACTGGGTACTGAAGTCGACATATTTATAAAATTACTGAATATTTGGATGAAAGAGACTTTGAGTCCCTGTAAATCAGCGTTACCCAAACTAACTTGGGTTGCATCTTACTTACTTCCCTAAATTCTGTGCAATCGACTCCAGATATGGCATAGATGAGAAAATAGAAGACGTGGGTGGGAGGGAGTCAGCTTGAATAAAAATTCTGCATCATTATTCTGACCCAAACCCCATCTGCTTACCAAGACCTTGCTATTTTTCTAGGAGGGTCATTTTATTATTAAGCATTAAGAAAACTTCCATGCTTCAATTACCTTAAACAACAATAGGTTCTATTTAAAAATTTGATAGCAATCTTTGTCTTTGATGGAGTTTAAAGGTATATTATTACAATAAATTCTTGATGATGTTGTCAAAAGCAAAACAAAATTATTTAGAATAATTTTCTTTTATTAAAGATGAGACAAATGCAATAATCATATGGCCACATACATACTTATTACATACAACTATGTCTGCACAGGAGTACCAACTGAGGAGTTTTATTTTTTATTTTTGAAAGTATTTATTTTGAGAGAGACAGAGACAGTGTGAGTGTGGGAGAGGCAAAGAGAGAAGAAGATAATGAATCCCAAGCAGAGCCTGCACTGTCAGACCAGAGCCTGATGCTGGGCTCAAACTCACACAACTGGGAGATCATGACCAGAGAGAAACCAAGAGCCTGCTGCTCAACTGACTCAGTCAATCAGGCACCCCTCAACTGGGGAGTTTTGAACCATACTGATGCACGGGCCCACCTGGTTTGGGACTGGACCTGATAATTTAAAAAAGTCTTTTAGAAATGTTTATATTTGAGAGAGAGAGAGAAAACAAGAGTGGGGGAGGGGCAGAGAGTGAGAGAGAGAGAAGGAGAGAGAGAGAGTGTTAGAAGCAGGATCTGTGCTGTCAGCACAAACCCTGATGTGGGACTCAAAATCCTGAACAGTGAGATCGTGTGTGACCTGAGCTGAAATCAAGAGTTGGGTGCTTAACCAACCAGGCCACTCAGATTAAGGTCCAGGCAGCCTTGGACCCAAATTTTTTAAGGCTACCCAGCTGATTCTCATAGCTCTGGAGAAGTGTATATTCTGTCCTAAGACCAGATGCTTCTGAAAAGACGTGACTACCCAAATAAGGGTTTTTTTTACATATTATCTGTCCTCATACAATTTAGTTACAAAGATTGAATTTAAAGTCGGTTTGTTCCTAAGGAGTTGGTTTCTAGGGGGATAAATGGAAAGAAGGTATTTTTGAAGGGAACCTTGGTACTTTTTTCCCCCCACAGCCTTATAACACCCTCTGCATCTATCATCCCTTTGTTTACATCCTTCCTCCTCTTCCAGAGCTGATTCCCAGCTCCTTCCACTGTGAACCCTCATCCACCAATGAGCTTCTATCTGCCATTCTGAGTGTGCTTTACCATCCTTGCATATGTTTAATTCTTTAAAACCTGCTGGAGTTCAATGAAAGACCGGGAAACATAGGAATGATGCCAGGAGACAGGGTGGTGAGTGGAGGAGGATCTTTCCCCAAGGGACTGGACGTATTTTAGGATCAGACTATGTATATACATCTGTACGCATTTATGCAATAATACATAGATGTGCTCTAGGTATGAATTTATCCACTTAGTATCTGCTGTTGGGCGCCAAGGGTGTGGAAGAGGACAGTGAGACAACGCGTCTCTCTCTTTCTGCTGTTTTGTGTGTTGCCCCAGCTCTGGCTGGGGGACCTTGAGATCTTTGGTATCCTTAGCCTTGCCCAGTGGCTTACATATTGGAGCTCAGTAAAGGTCTATGAAATGAATGTGTGTTAAAATGAGGGAAGGAGGAAAGGAAGAAAGAGAGGAATAAAAATGTACTTAAGACGGTAATCAACATGACATGACAGAGAATGTATAGTTTTGATGTTTTCAGTTGTGTGCATGTAGGTCAGGGAAGTGCGGATACTTGCGCAGAGACTGGCCCATGGGGTTGTGTGCACAAAGATGGTCCCTAGAAGGCCAGGACCTAGGATCCTTCATATCCTCAAAGGAGCCTCACGATTCCACACGGGAGCTGCACAAGGGGTGAGGAATGGGTGCAGAATAGAAATCTAGACCCAAAATAGCTTCAGTAGTCATGGAAATAGCTTTTCAGTGGCCCCCATCTCCCCCTGACTGGAGAATCGTACTTCTGTACTTCTAGATGTCTTCCTTCTAAGATTGCTTAGAAAACAGGGTGGGATCTCCTGCCTTGTAGGGAAAAAAAAGCCTTAAGAACAGTGAGATTTCAGGGAACCCTTAGCTTCTGGCTTCTAAGAATTAACAAGCAATCTGGACCTGTGCTGTGGGGAAGAAACGGGAAATGAAAAGAACCATGTTTCAATGAACTTTTCCCTCAGTTATCTGTCTTTGCTTGTTTTACTTTTTTTTTTCTTCCTCATTCTCTCACTGTTCCTCATATGTTATAATACTTTGACTGGATAGATTATATTTCCTAATAATGAGAAACTGAGGCTGGTCACAGAATTTTAAAGTTATCTATAGTTTTATATGTTCTTATGTTTCATTGTCATAATTTTATATATTTTATATTATCTTGTTTCATAATTTGACATCTATTTTTCTTTGAAGAATAGTTTGGTCTCTGTGTGTCTGGGTGTGGGTGAGGGCATATACATTTCTTATCCTAGAGTACTGCAAATTTTGCTTCTGAAAAAGACACCATGGTTTCCTTCCACAAGGTCATTAACAGTTTGTATTCATGTTAAGAACTGATTCTTCTCCACAATTAAATATTCAAAGTCACCTGTGCTGGTTATCTTATGACAGCCCTCCTAGGCCATTCTCTCCCTGAGAGAATGATTGCAGACACTGCTCTCTACTTTCCGGCTGGTCTCTGACACAGTCTCTGACAATGGCGGAGCAGAGGGTGAGGAGAGTGGGGTGTAGGTGTTAGTTCCCCCAGCTCCCTCCCTGGTGGGCGATTGTGAGTTGGCTGTGGCCCTCTATCCAAGACCCGGCCTCTGTGTGGTGAGTGGTCCTTTGCAGTCACCTCTCTCTGGGCTCTAGTAACCATTCCTTCCTCTTGTCTCTCAAGGCCTCACAGTGTAATCAGCTCTCTGCTCTCACTGGCTCCGGTGCACTCTATTTCTGAGCCATTTCCCTACCCATATTTTTGTTGAGTGTCCTTTTATTAAACTCTTCTCAGCCTCCACACACAGTGTGTCATCTGCTTGGACTGTGACCTTGCCTGAGACATCACCTCAGAACACTTATCCCAGGCCCACACCAAGAGGTCAAGGTGCCCTTTTTCATTCTTGGTATGGTTGGGGAGAAATCTATTTCTTGCCATTGGTCTTTTACTCTTCCTTTTCCTCCAGGGAGGATTTTATATTTTTAGTTCCTCTTAAATTTGTCCCAACTGAGGGTATTTAAGTATCAACAGATTTCCAGGGACATGGAGACTATCAGGGAATGTATGCATTCTCAGACCTATCCTGGTATGGGCTCCGTGGTATTTTAGGAGGATGGATTGAGATCTCAGGGTCCTGGCTTTATCTTGAAAGTAGACATAGGTAAGTTCTTTCTGCTCTGTTGTGTATTCTCTGAGATTAGGGAGGTATCTGGAATTCAAGAGAAAAAAAACATTTTTCATCTTATCAAGTCATTGATAGTAGTTTCTTATCATTAAAAATGAACTCAAAATAATGATTTTGCTATCTTTTTCCTTTTAAATTTTGTATATACCTTTCATTTGCTTTCCACCCTTTACTTTGAATAAATTCCATGCCTGCCTATCATCCTGGCAAAAATCTGTTTGTTTTTTTCTTTCTGTGAGCTCTGTTCGATTGACTTTATCAATCTTAAAAAAAAAATTAATAAACTCATCAACTACAAATTTTAACATATTTCTTTAATGGACTTAAAATACTTTGTTCATACATTATATCATCATTTTATGTGAAAACTTAAAAGTATCTGCAGAAAAAGCATAGGAATAAATGCTACCTTTTAATCTATTGTGAGACATATGTAACATGTTGACGGATTAAAAAAAATAGGGACTATTTTATAAACCTGCAATCATCAAATAAGTGACATGTTTGAGTCAATCATTTTAAGAGGTTACCGGTCCACTGATGAAACCATTTGAAGAAAATGTGCTGTTTGATGTTACAGAAGCCAAAAGCTGAATAAATGTGTCATCTGTTTTTCATTTTAATTCACTATTTCAGAAGTATTTACTGTGTATTAAAAAATCTTTTTACCCTTTCAAATCATTTGGACAACCTGGAAAAATTCAGAACAGTTTAACATATATCTATAAAAGCACATTCTCAAGCTAAGTTATCTTGCTCATATGTGATACTAATAACATATATATGAACTTTTTAATTTGTGAAAGAAAATAGCCATCATATTATTAGATGTGGATTTTTAAACATAATCTACAAAACAATATAGAAGATAAATAATTTTAATTTCAGAACAAAAATTAATTTGAGGGTTTTTTTAAAACTGTATGTTGTAAATCAAACTGAAAAGTATTTCTAGGTTGGAACGAAAATGTCTGGAAGTGTGTTTCCTTTAAAAAATAAAAATATTTTGAAAGGACAAGCTCTGTTTTAAGAAACTGGATTATTTTGTACTGCTGCCCATGAGAAAATGTTGCTAAATTAAGAGATTCTCCAAATTCAGTTCACCCCCCCAACCCCTATCTTTCCCTTGCAATTAACACCCAATTACTGTTTTTCTTTTCCTCGTGTTTTTTAACCTCTCCCTTGTCCACAATCCCTTTTTTAAAAAGACCCCTCTCTTCTCTCCAGAGGCTCTTCTCTCTCCTCTGCTGTCTGCCCTCTCACCCCAGGCCACTCCCTTGAACCTGGATCCATCCTGCCCTGCCTCTTGACAATGCTAATTTCCTCTTCTCAGTCTGGCTACTGAATCTTACACTCTGCCATAAACAGGCTACTTGTGATGCCTTTGGGTATCCATAATGCATAGCCGAAAACACTCTAAATGCCACCTTCCCTTAATTCACTGATTTCTAGCCAGAAACTGGGAGGGAAGGAAGTATCCATGCTTCCTTTACAGCTATTGTCTTCCACTGGTTTTCATTAAAGGGACAGGAGAATTGAATGTAAAATGTAATAATCCTCAGATTTTCTTGACTTAGTCTCTGGGAGGGAGTGTTTTTACCCAGCCACATTGAGGCAGCCGGGACGGAAAGCGATGAGGGAAAGCAACAGGGTGTTGGAGGTCCCTACATGGGATCCTGTAATTTCTAGAAAAGAAATAGTTCCGCAAACAGGAGACATGATTGCATAAGCTTAATTAACGGTTCAGAGTATTGGGGAGAATTTATGGTAGGATGCATGTTTCTCATTCTTTAATGAGTAAACGACCCATTTGAGTGCAGAAGTGCATATCAGAAGCACATGGCGATGAAGAAGCTTGGTGGTGGTAGATCTGATCAAAGTTTTTCAAAAACCGACTCCAAGTATTTGATGAAGAAGATTAACATGGAGACAATTTACCAAACAAATACAGCATAAAGAGCCAAGAGGCCTTCTAAGGGACCTCAAGGCTCCAGCTTGCCCACATAAAGAATATCATTAAACAGAAAGGAAACAGACAGGAATAAATATCGAAGAGTGCGAGTCCGTAGAGTAACTGAACTGCCAATGGACGATTTTTCTGTTCTATTTCTAATATCTATGCCAGAGGATGTTTTCAGGTTTGAAAAGCAAACAAAGCAATGCGTTTGACCTGGGTTCTAACTGTGCAACTCTCTTAAGTGTTCTAAAAGATGTCTGGACCAGAATTGGTTAATTAGCGCTTTGTGTTGCAGTGTGTTACATATGACCTAACCAGAGATAAAAAGGTTTAAAGGTCTCTTGTAACCCTGCAATGCCATTTGTAACACAAAAATAACCCCCTTTCATTACGAGCATGCCACTGTAGCACGCAGGTTATTTTTTCCCTTCACTGCAATAAGGGCAGCTTTCGCATCAGAAGAATTCTTGGCAAATTAATGCGCTACCTCTTGGGCTAATTAAATTAGAAAGGATCAAAAATACAGAGCGGCTTTTGTGGTGGACACAATGTCGTGCTTCATGCATCTTGCTCAGACAGGAATTTCTGCCATTTAGCCCCCTTTTGCCTCTAGCAGTGTTCTGGACTCTCGAACACAGTCAAGTTCCTAATTTGCCTCAATGAGAGAGAATTATTAACTGATAATAAGAAAAGGAGCATTCACAGCTCCAGGCTGGGCTGTGTGGAAAAGGGTGATCTACCCAGCACCTGAAGCGCATGCAATTTTTATTAATTCCTGCCTAAAACAATGCATTCAGGAGTAAAATTGCTGTGCAGATGACAAAAACAATTACGCCTTTGATTCATTCATTCTAAAAATGTGAACTACTTTAGCTCAAATATAACCAGATTAAGCAACTAAAGCGGCTGCTCACCTCTCGCGAAATCCAGTTTGGATTGTAGCAAGTGTGTTTTATGTTGAGAATTTGCCACCGCCACTTAAACTGATTGTCCCTATTGAAATCGCTGAGTGCACAAGTGATTTTGACTATAATTAATATTGTTCTCTCGATATTGTGGTCCTTTGTTTGGAAGATGACACTGATGATGGTGTTGCTATCTTTATGGGCTTTAATCCCAGAAAGAGAGATGGAGGCTCCTGCAATCAATCCCCGCGTGACTCTGTGCTTCTGTAGGCTCCCGTCCTTTGCGGCTGCTTATAGAGTCTTGCTCACAGGGCTATCTCTCTGCCACTTAAGGTATTACGGAGCTTTGATCAAAACAAGATACCTCCATTCCTACTTGCGGCAACATCACAAATGGCCTATTGCTTCCCAGATACTATTTCACAAGTGAGCCAGAGCTTCCTCGATTGAAGTTTGCAGAGTTTTTCCTGCTGTTCTTCTGCAGGGGGCTGTATATACATCCGGGAACTCCATTGTCTTCCAGTTTCCAAGTGCCCACAGTTAACAGGGCTTGGCCTAACCTACACATGTGACGATGTTATTTTGAGTGTATTTCTTTGTATACAAATAAGGAATACAGGTGTGTTTGTTAAAAGAAAAAAAGATCGGAAAGAGGGTGGCCAGGTATGCCATAACCATTCTTATTTTTTAGGTAGATCATTGACTTAATCATTTTTGTTGGCTAAAACAGATTGTCAAAATGAAAAACAGTCCCATTATACTGCTGTTTGTATGTGTGTTTTATACATTTTTTTAGCTTCCTTCCAAAGTAATAGAAATTAGTGATTGCGTTTTAGATATTCTGTTAGGATATTTGACTTTTTAAGAGATTTTCATAGTATATGCAAACACATGACCTTGACGGGCTTCAATACTTCCATGGTGAATTGCTGTCTTTAAACTATGATAAAAAGGTCTCCTTCCTGTGGATAGTCTGGACTAGTGAGAAATTCAAGGGCCATTTGTAATATATGCAGTGTGTCAAACCAATGATTTCTCTGAACACCAGAGAACATTCTAATGTCATTTTCATAATTTTGCCATTTAGATACCAAAATAAAAATGGACAACCTATTTATTCTATCCAAGTCTGTCACCTTGCCTGTTTTTGTTTTCGTTTTTTTCCCCACCATTCATTCTTTGGGTAGAAAATTGTTCTGAATGAGGATTATGTATTTTGATCTTATCAGTCATTTAACTATGTAACAGTAAATTTAAAAAATTGAACTTCATTCACTCTAATCTATACTTCCTCTTTCAGTACTCACCTCAAGCACTACCTACAAAACCTTTTTCTGTAGTTTTCATACATAAAGTTTTTAATTACTTGATGATTGATATCATGTAGTATGTTTTCTTTTATTGCCCATAGCATCTAGGTTGGCATACTGCAGATATTCAATAAATGTTTTGCTTTACCAATTGATTTCTTTAATGTGTACCAAGGATCAGTTCTGTTGGGAATGTTAAATGTCTAAAAAAAAATAAGAAGAAAAGAAAAAAAAGATATGTAGAGTGTCTTATCTGATACAGCTATGAACACGTTTCTAAAGTCAGTATATAAGAATAAAATTGTGTTCAGGATGCCTGGGTAGCTCAGTCGGTGAAGCGACTGACTCTTGGTTTTGGCTCAGTCATGATCTCATGGTTTAATGAGTGTGGCCCCCACATTGGGCTACTAGCTGGCAGCATAGAGCTTACTTGGGATTCTCTCTCTCCCCCTTTCTCTCTCCCCCTCTCTCTCTGCCCCTTTCCCACTTGTGCTGTCTCTGTCTCTCTCGAATAAATAAACTAAAAAAAAGGGGGGGGGGAGGAATAGACAAAATTACCTTTAGAATCTTTCCTTAGGAAGCTGCCATATTAGAGACCAATGGAATAGATTGTTAGTTTTTTTGTTTTGTTTTGTTTTGTTTTTGCTTGTTTATTTGTTTTGGTTTGGTTCTTGCTTGACCATAAATAAAGTAGTTGGCTTGTATTTAGGATCCATAGTGTAGAAAACAATGGTTATCAGATTCACCCTACAGTGACGGAAGCTGTTTAATATATGAAAGGCACATGACAACAGGTATTGGCTAAAGAAAGAGTGGCTTCATGTGTCTTATTTCATGTTCATTCTGTGGAAA